CTGGCTGCTGGCTACACACGGTAGCCCATGGCAACCCACTGCCACAGGGACTGCAGCCTATGCCGTCGCCGGCGACTCACGGCAGCCCAGCTCCAGGTTGAGCTGTTGTTCAGCATCTTAGCTGTGGAGGGCAGTGTCACTGGCCCTCATGTGTGGGATCCGAACCGGGGCCCTCTGGCATCCCAAGCCAGTTCTTTAACCATTGCGCCAGTCGGCCGGCCCTCTTACCCTTGTTATTTATTGTTGTATTTGTTGTGCTAAATTCATGAGAGATATTGGTCTGTTTTCTTATAATGTCTTTGGCTTTAGTATCAGAGTAATACTGGCCTTATACAGTAAGTTGGGAAGTGATGGTGTTATGTACGTGTCCTCAGATATTTGGTAGAATTGTCTAGTGAAGATGTTTGGCCCTGGAATTTTGTTTGTGGTAAAGTTAACTATAAATTCAGTTTCTTGAATAGGCGTAGGCTCCTCAGGTTATCTAATTCTTTTTGAGTGAGCTTAAGTCTGACTGGAAGTTTGTCAATTTCATTGACCTTAGAGTACCAGCTTTTTTATTTCATTGATATTTCTTTTTTTTTTTCTGTTTCATTTGTTATTTTTTGTCATTTCTCTTTTTTTGTTTATTTTCACTTTAATTTGCTGTTCATTTTCTAGTTTCATTTAGACAGAAGCTGAGCTTATTGATTTCAATTATTTTCTAATATAGGAAGATTAGTGCTAGAAATTTTTCTCTAAGTACTGCTTTAGCTACATTCCACAAATTTAATTATATTTTCATTTTCATTTAGTTCAAAATACTTTCTGATTTCTGTTATTATGTTTTCTTTGTCTCATGGTTTGTTTTGTTTAGTTTCCAAATATTTGGCGATTTTCTAGATATTTTTCTGATGATTTCAAATTTCATTTTCGCCATAGAACATCATTTGTATGCTCTGAGTTATTTTAAATTTATCGACACTTCTTTTATATCCCTATTTCTTCCCTTCCCCACCCTATGATCCTTTTTTCCTTGATAATAAGCTTATAAATTTATTTTTTGTATAATAACCTTCATGTTTGCTTATGTTTATTTTATGTGCTGTTTGAAGGTGGTTCTTTACTGCCAGTCTCAGTTTGGAGGCTCCAGGTGTCTATTTCTGTTTAACCACTAATTTTTTCGATGACTCGATAAGTCACTTACCTCTTATATTGCTCATTGAAGACCTAAAACTTAGGAGGAAAGAGGTATAATAGTTGTAAAGTGTGAAATGTTGAAATACTAAAACAAACTGAAATCAGGTAGCATTACTTTTGTCTCCAAGGTAATATGTATTTCTTTGTTAAAATTTCACCTTTGAACAAAGCCATTGATTACATTTATGTGCTTAATTGATTTATAGGCTTTTTATGGAAATTCTCAATGACTGTTCTGATGTGGATGAGATCAAATTCCAAGAAGATGGCTCTTGGTGTCCAATGAGACCGAAGAAAGAAGCTATGAAAGTGTCCAGCCAACCCTGTACAAAAATAGAAAGTATGTGCAGAATGGCAGCCGAGAGCGAAGCAGTGAGATTCGTGCAGTGTTATCTTTATCATTAACTTTGTCCACGAGCACTACATTTGGAGCTCAGTTTGCTAACTTTATCTTTTGATCATCTATTACATATGTAATTTCCCCCAAATAATTTTTATTTTTTCTTTAAGAAATGTGCTAAATTTATACCATCTTATGATCAGCCTTTTCATAGTTTATTTTTCATATGTAAAGTAAATGAAACAATCATCTAAAATTGTTTTAATATATGGTGTTTATTACAAAATGAAAAATTATAAATGATATTTCTATGGACAGCTTTCAGAATTGTTTTTAGAGTACCCATTGGGGGAACCCCATATGGAGGTGTGGTTAGAGAGGCTACCTCATCCATTAATGGAGGGTAGGCGGAGGTGACCACAGGTTAATTAAAAAAGTTAACAGATTGTTTCCATTTCTTTGTGGGAAGGAATTTGACCATTGCCTTGGTTACCTAGGATGTACACTCAGCCTTCACCTCCTTGCACCTTCCACATTGAGTGGGAAAACTAAGGGCAGCCTGAGTAATTGAAACTCATAGATGAGCTTAATAGTTTCCTTTTATCTGACCTAATCCTCTCACTGCATTTGAGCTTTGTGTTGACTATTTTTGATGTTCTAACAATACAGTGAATAATAGGTGTTCAAAAAAGCAGAGAGGAAACGTAAATGGTTAATGTCAATATTAGTCATTCTCCTTGATTGTTACTGAACCTATGGGTAGAATAATTATGGTTTGTTTCCCTCATCTTTGAGAGAAATAGTGATTTAGTCGATAATTAGCTGCTGCTTTTTCATTATCAACTAGCATTCTTTTTCTACTACATAGACTACAGAGCATAATATACTTTCTATGAAATGGTGAGTTAACATGGTGTATGAGACTATCATAGTGGGCAGAAAGGAGAACCTAGGTGATTAGTAGATAATTGATAAGAAAAGTTGTAAAAGTCTGAATCACTTAAGTGAGAAGTTAGGGGTTTTTCAAGGTTGAAAATTTTTATTAAATTCTGGCTTATGGTGAAGAGCCTATACATGAGCACCATTGCTTTTCTAGAATGGAAGTATCTGATTCTGACTGAACACTACCATGTGTCTATGGGAATACACAGCCAGTGAAGCCACATACTCTTGTCCCTGGCTAGCGATCAGCCCCTTCACTCCAGATATCTGTCTGTAAAAGGACTGCTTAACTGGGGAGACAGCGTGAGCCAAAGGGTATACACGAATCCAGTGTCAGTACCGGGGAGATAACCAAGAGCTTGCTGCCTCAAGGAGGCTTTTGACCTTCTGTCAAGGCATAGAGTTCACCCTGTCTTCCCAGGTTAGTTGTAATTTTACATACAGATGTCTGGAGTTAGAGAATTGTCTTTCCGAGGGACAGAGTATGTGGCTTTATTGGCTGTGTGTTCTCCTGGACATGATGCACAGTAAAGACTCCTGTAACTAGAGTTTATGTCACACCTTTGAGTTTTTTCTTTTCCCTCTGTTCCCTACATGCAGGTTCAAGTGTCCTCAGTAAGCCTTGTTCAGTGACTGTAGCCAATGAGGCAAGCAAGAAGAAAGTGGATGTTATTGACTTAACAATAGAAAGCTCTTCTGATGAAGAGGAAGATCCCCCTGCCAAACGGAAGTGCATCTTTATGTCAGAAACACAAAGCAGCCCAACCAAAGGGTTTGTTAATTTATAGTTCACTATTGTTTATTACACTTGGAACTAACTGTTACTGGGACAGGTTTGTAAATATCTGTTTGAGAGTTGCATAATCATAGAAGGCTCTTTTAATTCGCCTTTGTTCAACTGAAATATTTTCAAGTGAGCTCGTTTATAGGAAAGCAAATTCGGATAAAGAAAATATTCCCATCTTTGGGAAGTGAGAGTTGAAATCTTCTCCTTGTAAGTATTTCATATTTGATACTTTCTGTCATTTTCTTGAAACCGATTTAGTATCACAGACCAAAGGAGAAAGCCTGGTGTAATAGAGTGTGGAATTGGGAACCTGACCAATGTGGATTCCAATTTTAACACCATTGCTTACTCGTCCTGTGATCTTGGATGAAATACTGAACTTGTTTGAGCCTTCTTTTTCTGTTCTGTAAAGTGGGGTTAAATAATGCCTACCTCATGGGATTATTTTCAGGTTTCAGTAAGATAATGAAAGAGCTTAGCCCTAGTGTCAGACACCTGGTAGTTTTTCAGTAAAGATTGATTGCCTTCCATTCTCACCCTCTCCAGGGCAAAATATGGGCAAATTAAATGCCTTCTAGCATATATTCTTTATGATGCATCTGGCAGAAGCCATTTCTGAGCTATAGTAAGTGACAGGTTTGAGGATTTACCAATAGGTACTTTTTAGCTAGAGATTTTAGAACCTGAAAGAAAGTAGCAGAGTTCTCTTGACAACACATGAACACATCATTTCAGTCTTGGGTGTGCCTGTCTTGTCTTTTTGTCCTCTCAGTGCACTCATTTTTTCTAATGGCTTTATTGGGGCATAATTTACGTATCTATCATAAACTTTTCCCAGCTTAAGAATTCAGTTGCAGAAATCAGTGATTTTAGTAAATTCATAGAATTGTACAGTCATCACAATTCAATTGTAGAATATTTTCAATACCCAGTAAACTTCTCTCATGTTCATTTGCAGCTAATCCCCATTCACATTCCAAATCGAGGCTACCATAGACCTTTTTTTCATCTCTATAAATTGGCCTATTCTAGACATTTTATGTAAATGGAATTATACTCTCAGTGCACTTCTGTGACATTCTTTCTTTAAAAGGTGCTTTTGAAACCAGGAGAATTAAACCTTTTGTGCTGCCTTCTTCACTGTTAAAATACTTCTCTTTGCAGATGTTATTTATACATTATAGTAGGGTGTGTGTGTGTGTGTATGTGTGTGTGTGTGTGTGTGTGTGTGTGTGTGTGTATTTTACCCATTTAATCAAAATAAGATTTTTTTTGGTAGAACAGAAAATGACAAAAGTATTTCAAGTGAGTTTTTTTCTGGGATGCTGATCGTTTATTATTCCTTTCAGACAAGTTGGTTGGAACTTGTAGAATTTAAATGATAAAATGAAAATATAATTTCTAAATGTTTACTGGAGTGGAAAACCATGGGAATCAATGTTTACATGTGGTATCTCCAGGTTTTCCTTTCCTTTAGAGTATCTGGAAAAACACAGGTTTCACAGTATTACAGATAGATATTCATGCCAGGTTGACGGATCATGCACAGTGATGCTGACTCGTGAAATGGTGTAGTCTTGGAGAGTGTCTTTGGTGGCATGCCATAAAGGTCTTCCGTCTGTCTGTCCTTTAGCACATTTTTACCAGTATTTGATGACACGAGACTGGAGGAATGGCATGTACTTTGGGTGACAACTTGAAATGACAGCAACATGCAGAGGAATGTGGCTAGTTCACATCCGTGGTCAGCTGTCATAGAGATAGATGTAATGCTCCTCATCGAGGTTAAAAAGAAAACAGAAACTCACATTGTAAATAATAAGGTGGAAATTGGTGATTAAACCAGCAACACATGAAAATTGTATCTATAAATTGCAGCTACCCAGCTCATTCCATGAAGTCAGCATAACTCTTAGTATCCAAACTAGATTTACACATTACCAGCCATACAGAAAAACCCTTATGAAACAGGCTGACATTAGGACGATCAATGAAAATTCTGAATTCAATCTTAGGGAATCATTTAATTATATATTAAAATGGCATCCATTATCACCAAGTAGGGTTTATCCAGGAGTGCTTTCATATTAGGAAGTACATTGATAAAATGGATGTTGTCATATGGACAACTATATAGTCATCTTAATAGGTGCTGGAAAGGCATTCAATAAAGTAATAGCCGTTCCTGATAGAAGCCCTTTGAAATGTCAGAATTCACTTAATGATTTGAAGGGTTCACCATGTAAGCTGCTTTGTTCTTAGGCAGCATTGATAAAAGAAGTACAATGTCCAGGGTACACATACATGCCAGTTTGGTTGAATTTTAGGTTGGATGCCTTTCACTTCTTAGACCGTTTTATCAGCGCTGATTATCAAGAAAGGTATTAACAGATGAGTGTAGTCAGAGTTGGGGAACGGGGTGGTAAATAGTGGAAACTAGCATGGGTCTAGGGACTAAATTGTTAAGTCAGAAGAGAACATGTAATAGCTATCTGGTAGCTCTTGAAAGGGAACCACTGATAACTGGATTAAGTTTATTCTTTGTTGCAACATTTGGTAGATCAAAGTCCACTGGAGGAAAGATACATGGAAAAACTTTCCACTGGAGCTTTCTGAATGCTAAGAAAGTTGATGCTTTGTGCTAAACCCACATTTTCTGTGTTAAGGTAGGGTGGATGCCACCGGTCCCAGTTACGTAGTGGAGACTCATGCTATGGTTATGTCATATCTGTAATCCCTCCAACTCTTACATTTTTTTGGTTTTGTTTCTGGTCATTCTTTTCATATCCTATCTTGTGGCTCAGCATCTAGAACTTTTATGGTTTTCCTTTGTTGTGTAAGTTTATCATAGGACTTCTTGCTCGGTGATAGTAAGCAAATCAGAATAGAGAATGAGAAACCAGGAAAACTTAAGTTACAGTACAGAAATTATGTCAGCAGTTACTTTTTAAGAGGTGTAGTTTTAGTAAAAATTACATTTATAAACAATTTTACAGAACACCAAGAAGTTACAGGCATTCTGCCTAGAGATAACCACTGATAACATTTTTTTTTTGTAATGGTAATCCTTCTACCCTCTTTCGTTGCATACTTACTGTAGTCCTTAAATGCAGTCATGTAATAGCTATTAGAAGAAACTGGCACCTTAATTTAAGGCTTTTAGAAAACCTCTGATATTTTTCTACATTAAAAGATAATTTTAAATATTATGCCCCTACTCCATTCCCTGGAAATTGAATGATTGCTTTATCATTAATATGGAGGTATTCTAAAGACATGAAACAAAGAATAGAGAAAAAAATGTATTTCTCTGCATTAAAGATCATTAGGAATTCGTAGCAAAACTGAATCTTTTTTTATATTTTTAGGATCACAAAGTGGGCGGGAGTACACAGTGAACTTCAGGCTTATGGATAAAAATTCAAGTTATTGAATTATGAATCCATTTTTAGATATTTAAGTCTGGGCCAACTATGATGAATTCAGTGATGCAGTACACTGTCTAAAAGACTAATATTCTCTGTTTGCAGCATTCCAGCAATTTACCTTTGTGCTGTGTGATATTATGGATAAAGCTATAAAATTTAAAAATATATATGTACGCATGCATAATGTATACATATGCCTGTGTGTGTTATTTCCCAGTATTTCGAGGAGGCAGTAACAAATGTTAAAAGCTTTTAAAGAATTTTTGTTACTTCATAGCATCACATTTTTATACTCACAGTTCCATCAGACATAGCCATTTACATTTCTCCATGGTCCCTGTTATTCTGTGTATTAGATGTATTATATCTATAAATACATCTATTTTTTTTGTTTTGCAGAGGCATTAGAATCAGTTACCTTTTTGAATGTGATCCTTATGAAGATTATGATTAAAATAAAAATCTACCATATGTGATTTGATAATCCTAACAAAGGACTAATTTCACCCATTCTATATAAAGTCGTATGTATTAATGGTTGCAAAGTTCAGGTACTAGAAATTAACCTACACTAAATAGTTTTTCAGATGTTTGCTGAGGTTTTAGATGTTGATTTAATAATTTTTGCCTTCACTAGTTTTTGACAATTTTACATGTTGTGACAGTCAACAATTTTATATTGAAGAAACAAGGAAGGTTAATCATTTAAAGTAAAGTTTCATGCGATGAGATTAGAACATATGCAATAATTAGATGTTATTATGGTGACAGATGGCATGTTGGGACATTGATCTGACTCCTTTACAGATGTAAGTAAAGGGGTGGGGGAGGAAAGTGACTTCTGTTGTTTCCTATAAATCTGATCCAAGTTGAATGGTCAGGATTAAGACGAAAGAAACTCTCTAGTGTGAGAGATGAAAGGAAGAGAAGGGGGACGGGGAAGGTGGGCATTTTCTCTTTCTTGTAAACTTGAACGTTTTCTTAGTTTCTTTCAGTGTCAGAGGAAAATTAGATCGATTAAATGTACTTTTACGTAGAAACTTGTTAAAATAAAAGAAATTGTATGTGTGAGAGTACGTATATATGTATGTGTATATATTTGTCTTTAAAAGCTTGTCTTTTAAATGTTTAAAAAAATAAGATGCTAATACTGAGGCAGCCAGAATGATCAGAGCCACTTTTTAAACCCCCTCCTCAGCACTAACATCCGAGTCTCTCCTTCTTACCTCCTATCCCCGCTCCCCCCAATTTCTGATACACATTCCTGTGTGGGAAGGAGGGTCATGGGTAATTTGAAAATACTTTTGGTGATTTCCTGTTCTACTTGCATTCCTGTAGAAGGCAGCTGTTTTTAAACCTCCAGAAAAAGATAACTTATTAAATCTCATCCCCAGTTTTCTCTTTTCCCCCTCCAGAGCCTGCCTTTTCCAACACTGTTCACCTCCTGCTTGTTGTGTTCGATCTCCGGGTCATACTGGAGGCTAAGAAATGTTCTGATTCTAAGTTGAGCAGGCTGCTCTTTGGAAGATGACTTCCTTCCATCTTCATCTACCTCTGGAAAATTTTTTTTAAGTACTAGGTTTGCGTTACAGTATCAAGCATATTCTATTTCCTATGCCTCCTAAATGAATCTGTTTTTAAGATTTCTGAACTCTGACCTATGCTGTTTATTCATTGTTCTGCGATTACTCTGTTGCCAACGCAGCTGTATAGACTCTCAAGCTGATTTCATTTTGCATTTACCGTGACTTTTATATTTTTGACATACTACAGAATAACAGCTGGATAAGATCCTCGTGTCATAATATAAACTAGTTTTAGAAAGATTCCAATGTCTAAATAGGTTGTGATTATGTAAGTGGTTTGAGATCTAAATTGAAGTTATGAAGTGGTTTTGTCAGTTGTTTAGAGTATGAAGAGTCATACAACTGTGTCATCATATATTGTTACTAGTATTTAATAATCTGAGCAATAAAGTGTTTTAGCCAAGGGAAAGGACATCTAGAGGTCCTAGTTGTCATCTCAATCTAGCTTTGTGACCATGGTCCTACTGGAAGTTTCTGTCAGTTTTACTTTCTTCATCTTTGTAATTGTCCCTTCCAGCTACAGAATTCCGTGCCTCTCATTAAGCTTACAGTAGTTTCCTGGCAGCGCTTTGGGATGCTAACATAATGTCCCCGTGTCCCCAGCCTCCCCCACCCCCCTTTATTTAATAAAGTTTTATTTTTCAAAATGTGCAGTTGGTGGGACCTGTTTATGCATCTGGGGCATCTCCACTCTTGGTGTTTCTGGTGTAAATCACTTGAGCTCTGTGTTTGGAAACCCGTTTATTTAGTAAGTCCTTCACTGAGGGGCTCCTGAAGGGCTGCCCTGGCCAGGGAACTACAAACCTTCAGTCTCCCAGAGCAACAGCTGGGGTTATAAGTTTACAGTTGGGAACCTCCTTTACAGACTTTGTTGTATGTGGCTTTGTTAAATAAGACTGCGTTATTGTGCTTGTCCTGAACTTTGCTTCTGAACTACTACTTCTTTTTGGCCTTGCCCCCAGACTTGTTCACTGGGTCTTTGTCCTTCTTGGCCGACTTTCTGGCACCTATCTTCTTGTCATCTTTGGGTGACATCTCAAGCTCAGAGAGCAGCTCTTAACCACTGCAGCCTCACTGAGATGTTGGACAAAAAGATGGCCTCCATCAGGCCCAGGACTGTAATATTGCTTAGTTCCTTGTGTATGTCCAAGGTGTTTTTCTTGTGAGTTCTAGTTGTTTACCCTGGGCTAAGACAAAATGAAGCTTAAATAGGAAGAATCCAAAATCGTCTCTCTTATTCCTGAACTTTTTCAAAATTATGATTAATTATACTGTTCCTTAAAATTATAAAGTTATAATTATGTATAGCGTGTATATATAACACCAATTATAAAGTTTTTCTTAAATATGTTTAATTTGTTTAGTTTTAGTAAAATGAATAGCTAATTTCAAAGTCATACACCCTCTTAGAAAAGTAGATGGTATCATGGTAGCCAGTGTTTTCGTTTCTGGAGATTATATCTTAAATCCTGAGTAGTCATCTTATTCTAACTTCTGATTGCTGCCTGTCATCATCAGGTTGGCTGACTTTAGGATTGGCTGTCTTTGCTCAGGTGATTCCCAGATAAGAGCGCTAATAATTAACACAATTCAAGTTAGAGTGGAACAAATTCTGGTTGAACTATAGTAAGTAGCTTCACTCATAAAGGTGCCCTGATTTAAATTAAATTCTTAGGAGTCCTCTATTTTATTTCAAAATTTCTGTATAGATAAAACTTAATATCTACACGTTACACATACATTAGTAAAAGCATATGTAAAGTGCATTTCTATTTGTGAATGAACATCTTATGTATTAACTCCAGCACTGGTACCGTACATTATGTTTCAATGCTGACTTGCTCTTACATCACAGCTGCTGCTGAGCCAGCATGCATTCACGATAAAATGAAGATTGTTAATGAAAGAGGAGAGGAGAGTGAGTAGCTGCCAGATAGTTGTGTTGAGACTTAGTGAACTTAGGACTGAGAATACCCGGTAGTGCAGCCCTTCTCTCCTGTGAACTAACAGCCAGATTGTTTGTAATTTCCCATGCTATTTAAAACAGGGTTCTCATGTATCAGCCATCTTCTGTAAGGGTGCCCAGTGTGACTTCGGTTGGTCCTGCTGCTATTCCGCCTTCCTTAACAGACTACTCAGTACCATTCCACCACACGCCAATATCAAGCATGTCATCAGATTTGCCAGGTATGTGAAGAGTTGTTTTGTTTTGTTTAATCAAGTTTTATCATTTATTTTTAATCTTAATCTGTGGAGCAAAAATAGTTTAAAATTTTTAAAAAGAAAATGCTAAGGAAATTGGAAGGCTTCATGTAAAGATAGCGTCTTTTATATATCATATTCAGTTCCTGTCATTTTAACTACAGGGCAATCTATAGATTCCTGATGATAAAAATATATAGTAGGATAGTAGGAAATTTTTATAGAATTTATTCTCCGTCATAGAGAATTTGTATTCAGAGACTTTTTCTTGGTTTATTTATTTTACAGGCTTAACAGGTTAGGGAGAGAATTTTCTCATACTATTCTTGGTAGCCCATCACAACTTCACAATAGAGTGGTGTGTGATGGGGTCAGTGTCGCCTACTAGCTTTATTACCGTTTGGATTTTTTCCCCTGTAATAATTGGACCTACCAACTGTTTACCTAGAGCATTACTTAATATTTGGGGCTATCTCTTACATGTATCTATCAAATGTGAGCAAGCTAGAACCAGTGCCTCTTATTATTCATGACTTCGCTTCTCTCTGAATGGCCCTTTTAGGGGAATACAATTCCCTCTTCCTGTTATTAATTTTTTTTTTTTTTTTTAGATTTCTGAAGTTAATTTTGACCTATAATTTAATCTTCTTAGTCCTCTTAATGAGGTCTTTATTTTAAGAACAGTATATATTCTGTTGGGCAAGATTTGTGTCGTGGAAACAGTTGATAGTTGTATTATCTGGCCTAGTGTAATTTTGGCCACTTGAAATTTGTTCAGATGACTCAAATAAAATTTAATGGAAAAGCATAGACTAAAAATAGTACCATCAAAAAATATTAAATACCCTTTGCTTCTTAAATATGTTAATTCCATATGTGCTTTGGGAATTGGTATTTTAAAGAATTGTTCATAAAGCCACCTATCACTAATTATAAAGTATTTGTTGTATACAAGGCTTGATGCTAAGGTACAGGTGCGGTTTCATGGTCCATAAGAAAGAAAGACAGAAACTTGGAGATTCTTAATTCCTAACTGCCATGTTTTGCTCTAACACTAGCTAGTTTTAAGTGAACTTGAAGAGTGCCCACATATTATCTTAGTATATAAGTAAGCATTCCAGAAGAATTTGTTTACTAAAGACTTTGAATTAAAAATTAATCCGGATATGAAAAAAAATGACAAACATTTTGTTTATTAAAGTGACCTTGGTGGCCATTTAGCAGTAAACAGAATTTACAAATCACTTGCTCTGTTTTCAAATTACGTCATTCTGGATGAATTTTTTGTTTTACATTTAAAACAGATTTTTAAAATTTATTGAGGTGACATTGGTTAGTAAAATTATGTAGGTTTCAAGTGTACAATTTTATAATAAATCATCTATACGTTGTATTGTGTGTTTACCACCCAAAGTCAGTTTACAGTTTTTCAAAATTTGGGCATAAATTGAGATTATTTACTCTATAAAATGTGCAGATTTGAGAAAATGCAATAAAATATGTTAACTGTGTATTTCATAAAATACATTTCAAGCTAATATTAAGGAACTAAGACTAATATCCAGGGTTGATATTTAGCCAAAATAAACCAATATGGTGATACTGGTTATTAAAATATTGAAATGGTTTCTACCAGTTCATAAAATGAGTAGAATAGGATCTGTTGTACTTTGGAAGAATTACCAGTTTATCATCATCAATGGATTATGTAGCAGTTACTATATCTAAATAGTTTTTACTTTGGTTTTATTGTTAATGTGCTCTTGTATAATTAGTAATTACTTTGGTTTTATTTTTGTGCATAATTTTTATGTAATTAGTCATACTGTACAGAGTTTTGATATTTATAAATTTAATAATTTATAATAAAATACTAAATAGAACACCAAAAATGGAGAGATGACAAAGTTTTAATACATTTCTTAACATTCCTTTTAAACATCATAAACATGAATCTTCTGAATCTGCAGGGGAACAAAGAAGAAATGATATTAATAATGAACTGCAGCTTGGAACATCTTCTGATACTGTGCAACAGTGAATTCAAAATAAATAATTTGTATTTATGGAATGGAAAACAGCTTGATTATTTCAAGAAAAAATATGACTGCCTTATTATTGCTAGTGCCATATTGTCAGGTGCGAATGGTGCTCAAAAATTGTATCATTAAAATTTGAAAGTGCTAAAAATTTACATATTTAATTATGTAGCAATCATGTTTTGTTCAAGTTCATGGCTCAAGTAAGGAAAGTGTGTTGTTATTAATAAGACATGTAGAGTCAGTTTCACATAAAGAAGCATTTAAAATCTAAAAACTACAGTTTTATCAGTGTTAATAAAACAAAAACATTTAGAATGTATCACCAGAATTTTTAACAGTACCTGCTTTTTAGTTAAAAATAATTGAGCATTTTCAACCACGAAATACATAAGGGCATAAATATGTATCAGTATAACCTATTGTTGCCATTGAAAACTTATGGTGAAATAAGAAAACAGCATTTTGCTAAACTTATAAAACAAGAAAGTAACATTAGTCACTATTCATGAAACTTCATCTATTTCATATGAGTTTTAATAGTCTATTTAAAATGTAAAATACAAGACTTTGATAATAAAGTTTTCTTTTGAAGGAAAATCATCTGAAATACTGTATCAAATTTTAAGTTGATGTTTGAGAAAAAAATGGTTTCAGTGAGAAATATTTACATTAGAACATTATTGGGTTTTTGTATAGACAACATCTGTGTAATGCTAAGGAGATAGTCTAGAGTTCAACATTTTAGAAAAATGTCTAGATTTTACTGTGCATTGTGTAAGTTATCCCTAGATGAGGTGTTAAAAGATACAGATCAAATAAATTTTTTAAATCAATAGATTGTATGTATATACACAATCTATATATACACACATATATACATACACACACGAAATAATCAGAATTACAGTACATCTAAAGAGCTACAAATGGAAATAATGAAAATAGGAAGAGCCTTTGCCCTTCAGTGGACAGCCTTCAGTGCTGGAGCTGCAAAAATAGTTAGAAAATTATACAAGCCTGTGTATTTATTTATATTGAAGTTATGAAGTGGGAGTAGTTAAACATTTAGAAAATGAGCGTTTTTTTGAGTGATTTGACTTCAATACAAATATTCCAACAGATCTATACTTTCTTAGCTTTATAAAAAGTTTGTTATTTAAGTGTATTCAGTGATTCAGCAAACATTAAAAGTAACTGAACATATAAAATTAAATAGACTATAAAAAAGCAGAAGCTATTAGAAAAAGAAAAATGTTACACCATTTGAAACAAAATAAAATTAATAAAATTAAGCCAATTAATAAAATTAAGCCACTTAATTCAATGACATGCCAGTAAAGTATTTTTGTGACTTAGTCAAAATAGAAATGTTGAATATATAAAACTCTCGGAAGGTATTTTAAGGGTTAGACACGTTTTGAATTAGTGTTCAACAGAAGCAGAGAGAGGGTCTGTTGAACAGTATCATTAACGTGAACAGACACTCTCCTTATTGAGATACATCACCTGATGAATAGGGAAGTCATTTGAAAAGTTCGTTTTGATTCCCTTTGTCCAGTGTGGGCTCAGACCCTGCCGTGTCATATAGCTAGTGACAGGCATATGAAGTGAAAAATCATATTCCATTTCTAAAGCATTGTTTCAAATGATTGGTGCTATAGCTTCTATCACTTGATAAGCATTTTTATCATACCTTATTTAGAGAGTAAGGGAATAAATATACTTTAAAATTTTGAGTTATAAATTATTCGTTCTGGTTATTAAATATTTTAAGTACCATTCCCAGGAATATTCTCTATTTTGAGTAACAGTCTAATATCAGACTTTCACTCTGTATGGTTGTTATTTAAGGTGACATTGAATTGCCAGCAAATAAAAATTTACAGAATTGAATAGAAATTGGCCTGTCTCAGTGACCTTTACATAGTATGTGGTTATTCTTTTTTTAATGTTTTGAAATTTAGTCAAACAGGGAGGTAGGTTTAGGGGAACTGACTTTGAAATTTATTGCTAGACTTTTCAGACCTGAGATTTTTTAAATTATTGATTGTTATAACTTGAATACTTCAAAATGGTATTATTACTGGGCAACTTTTTCCACATTCCTGTTTCTAAAGCTTAATTGGAGAACCGTAAATCTTTGGTTTAGAAAACTGCATTGGCTTATAACCCAGTAAGTGATGAGGTTTAGCTTGTTAGTGAGGAGACTACCAAGTGCTTGCTTTGTACAGAGCGTGGAACTATGTACTTACTACCATTGATGTGGGAACGGGGACAGAGAGCGGCCCATGAAATAGACATCTGTTTAAGAAGTGGCATTTTAGATGGAGCTCAATGTGGTGTATTTCTAAAAAATAAATGTCAAGTTTCTTAAGAGCCTAAGTATGTTTTTTTAGTGGTCCGTATCCAGATAATTATCTCATCGTTTTTACTGCTTTTCATTCTGTTAAGTGATGGAAGCGGGGACATGTTTGCTTTCACTAAGTCCTACTTCTCTGGAAACTTTTGGACTCCTCTCTTTAAGTCTCTGGGAAGTGATTTCTCCAGATGTTTTGTCAGGGAATATGTTTGTATTGGGGTTTTATGCACTTTCAATATCATGGCTTCTGGTATAGAACTTGTCTATTGCAGAATGGTAAGCACTTACCCCCAATGTTTTATGCCTTATAAATACAAAATGATTTTGGGAAATAATTCTTGTCTCCAAAATATGAGACAACTATTAACAAAGCATTTTTGTTTTAGGTTTGGATTTTCTTTCCCTTATTCCAGTTGATCCCCAGGTATGTATCCTGAATTTAAGCAACTAATTTGTATTTGATTGTTGCTTATGTCATACTAACCAAAAATGACCAGTTGCATAAAATCAGGACAGTCAACTCTCAGTTACTTAAATTGATGGAAAGGAGGTGCTTTATGAATATTTCACAATTTTATTTGGAGGAATAAAGTTACTGTTTCTCAGTTTATGATATTTTGGCCTTACTACCTGAATTTTTAATTATATTTTATTTAGTTTAATAATCAGTTGGCATTTCTTACAAGCATTTGAGTCATTAAAATGAAGGGAAGCAGTGGTACATGACGAAATTAAAACTTTACAGCAATAATTGTAAAACACTTGTTCTATACATAGGAAATAGCTGAAGCTGATTAAACTGACTTGAATCATTATCTTGATTCTTCCTTGTTTTTAAAGGCTATCAGATTCAGACTTTGGGAATGCCCCAATCTAAAGTCACTGTAAACCAGTTATTCCTGTTTTTCTCTGTCAGGGATAAGAAACTCTGGTATCCAGAGTCCCAACATGAAGTCTGAGTGAGCATGGTGTCCACTGACAGGCGTATAGTGGAGGCAAAACAGAGGAGGAAAAGGCATGGGAAGCCAAAGGGGAAAGTGAAACAGAAGGAGGCAGAAATGTTGAGAGGAGGGAATTTAGAGGAAGAACACGGAACACCGATTCATAGGCTGGTCAGAATCGACTACGGGTCTTTTATTGGCTTCCTGTTTGAATACTCGATCACACAAACATGAATTTTGAGCCCAAGAGAGCGTAGCGTGCACAGAATGAGGAATTTCTTTTCTCACTCTGAGTTGATTCTGAGTAGATTCTATGTATAGCAAAAGTATATTATTTTTTTAGGAAATAGATTCTTCAAGCTTCAAGTACTACTGAGATTTTTATGTGACTCATCCTTTTTTTAAAAAAGATCTTGGAACCTAGAGGATTCTGATTTCCTAGTGCTGTTCGGCATGCTAAATGTCAGGCCAGCTTATTGACAAGCCAGTAGAAGGGTGAGGTTATGCCTTCATTTTTCTGTAGAATCTTTAGATTTGTTGTAATTTACATCCATATTGCCCCGTAAATCTGTTATCCGTGGGCAGATATGTGCTGATTACACATAAAGGATATAGTTAGAGGTAAAATGGCCGTAAAATGGCCTGTTGAAAGCAGGACTATAGTTTCTATAATAGTATTCATTTTACAAATGAAATGAGTGCTTTTTTACCACTAGGCAGTCAAAAACTGCCTCAGAGGTAGTAGAAATAAAATGTAAGTTTCTAGGCTTTTTTTTCCTAATTCTTTCCCAATTTTAGTGGAAAATTAGAATTAATTGACTTATAAAGAAGTTTAATACCTGAGAGTTCACCTTTCTTTAGAACTCTTTAGAAACTTTAAGAACTGTTCCTTCTCCCTTTTAACTAATGCCCCTTGAAGTTCTTGTGCACGGCATTCATTTTATTGACGAACCAAGACAGTTATTCATCATAAGCATTAAATTACTTTTTTTGAAAGGCAGCCTGCTGAATTTTAGTTGTTCTTCCACTGACTAGCCATTTAAATCTGGGGCTGTCATTCCCATATCTTTTTGAAGGTAATATAATCTAAACTACCTCAGTTTCAAATTCTTGTTCTATAACAGTATCTCTAGCGGACTATAGTATTGATAATATTGATCAGGTATCCTTACAGTTCTTCTTTCATACTATCAATCTAAAGACAAACTTCGGACATCTCCTCTTTTAGTATATACTAGACCTCACTTATTTTACTAAAGTCACTGTAGTTATTTCTCAGATAAAATACGGTGATGTGAAAAAGCTTTTAGCTCTTGTCTCTCTCTACTCCTCTTGAGAGTATTAAAGAGTATTCAGCTCGGGTTTGAATTTGTTTAGGAATCTGCAACCAAGATGGTAAGGAAATGAAATAGGAACTCTTGGAGAAGGGTGTCAAACAAGCATCACAAGGAATATTAGATTAGACTAGATCTCCTTTAAGATTTATTTCAAAATTTTGTGATTACGTGTGATAATTCTCTGGTCTGAGCATCCCCATGGTAGTTAGCTACCGTGTAGTCTATGTTAGAATGAATGATGTCCTTATAATTACACAAGTATCGTTACATGTATGTACAAAGGAGTAAAAAAGCCACCATTTAGCTGATGGGTCTTAACGTTATCCCTAAAGGGTCTGATGGACACTTAATTTTGAAAGAATTATTGAATTTTGTATTAGCATGTCTGCTTAATACCATTAAAAATAAGTGTTTGCTAGCCTTTTACAGTGTGATTTAAACCTGGTGCAAATGCATTTAGTGAGCAAATTCTTTTTGAGGTTAACTATGCGTCATAATTGGGGGGCCAGTATTTACTATTAAATAACTTCAGTTATTGTTGACATTTTTGTAATTGTACCTATACATTTAGTCAACAAATTCTGTAAGTTTGTGAGAATTAAGAATAGGCTGCATTCACTAAATGTAAAATAACTAAATTCATTTCACCTTCCGTCCAAAGACGTGACGTTTTGAGGAAAATTTAAATCCCCCTGGGATTTAAACATGTGGCTCTCACTTGTGCATATCTAACAATTTCTAGTCTCTTTATTTAAAAATCAATTTAGCCTTTTCCTCATCGGCATCATTATTTGTTTCAAGCAGTACTGTCCTCCTATGTTTTTGGATAGTCTCACCTCACCCTTAACAGCAAGCAGTACGTCTGTCACCACCACCAGCCCCCATGAAAGCAGTACTCATGTTAGCTCATCCAGCAGCAGGAGTGAGACAGGGGTCATTACCAGCAGTGGAAGTAACATTCCTGACATCATCTCATTGGACTAAAGGAGGACTCACTCGATTCTAGGAATCATGCATCAAAACTGCTCTTTCTTGGATCTCTGGTCCGTGGAAGCTATTTTTTTGGTAACAATTACTTTGGTATTTATTGAAACGTCAAATGGATTCTTTTGCTTTCTGAGATAACACAGATGACTGCAGCAAGAACCAAATGACACACAGGATTTTTCTTACTCATATGCTGTACTCTGAGCATCAGATGCATTCAGCCATGACTATCTTCTTGGGAGATGGATTTCAATTTCATATGTGACTGGATGGATTCTACAAATAAGTTACAAATTTTTTTGTTGTAATAAGCAGCAATAAAATTATGTAAATGTTCAAGTAAACTTTAATTAAAAAAAGATGTAATCAGTGATTCTAAAATGACAGCAACTTTTGTTTAACCCAATGTGAAAGAAAAATATATGGAAAGAAGTTATGTTTGCCGAATGTGTCCTTTCCATGGAGATTTGTTCTATTTCATTGAAGTAATGAAGTCTTGATAAGTGGCCAAAGCTCGGGTTCCACTTTTCTTCTGCAGGTCCATCAAAGAAAAATGGCCTTTGTGTTATACATTTTTCCCTTTGATATTGTTTGCTACTGAATGCAGAGTGAAGTTTTAGGACCTGGCTGCTCTATTTTAGTAGGTATGTTGAGCATTACGCAGATTCCGCCCTGACAATGTGTGTTATCTTTGGTAAGTGAACATTCTCATTCTAGGGATTTCTATAAATTAGAGGCTTGCCTTCTCAAAAAAATAAGTTCAATGCAGCCATTGAATGAAATGTTTTTGGAGTAAGGTATTGGCTAGGATGTTTGTAAGAATTTTGTTCACACTTTCCAGAAATACTGAAGAGCTTGGGGGCAGTGGAAGAACAGATTTAGGGATGGTGAGAATAATGTTTAATTTCCTCTTAAGGACTTCTTTTGCTCATTTACTTCACAGAATAATATTCAAATCTTTGTTGAAACTTTTCAGACTTCAGTAACACTGACATAATATGTTTTAGATCTCTGGTCATATTTCTCACCAATGTAACCTGTCTCAGAGCAATCATTTTCAAACTCAAAACACAACAAGTGTTAGGGATGGCATCAGATTTCCTTTTTTAAAAAGGAATTCTTTCCTCAAAACACAGAAGAAAACACAGAAATGTTTGAATTTAAGCAAGTAAGGGTTGGGAGATGGGCCTGAATCCCACTTTGAAAACGGCTGTCTTACATAGTATGTGTTTTAAATCCCTCAGGAAACTGAGTTTTACCTTTAGAGAAACATTTTCATCCAAATTTTATATTTTCCCTTGGCTTCATTTTTGGCTTTCGAAATAATTTTTAAGTTCTCAAGGAGTTAACACTTTCCCAGTGTTTAGCTTTCTCTTCCCAAACTGCATCCACTTTAAAGATAAAACCCCTTTTTAAATGACTGATTCTCAAGCTGAAGTGCCCAGATGAAGAATTCTAATTTCAGATAGAATAGGGACGCATTACTTCAGGATTGGTGCAGCTCCATGGAGCTGCCTTGTCACTGCTTGGTTTTTACACCTTTTCAAGTTTTCATGGCCTCTGTGTACCTTTTGTACTGATATAATTTCATGTGATTTTCTATATCATCCTTCTTTGGCTACATCATCCATTTAATGTATTGTCCCTTTTTTGGAGAGTGGCTTATTATTAAAAACGTGGAAAACAAATTTCTCGCTAGTTGCTCCATAGCTGCCAGTTCTGTCTTCTTGTCATCAGATTTCCAATCCATGTTACAGTCCTTTGGTGCAGGTATAGAATTCCTTCATAGTAAGATTTAATGTTGCTGCTTTAAATACTCTGTAAGCAGAAAAAGTAACCTGACTTGTGTGGTATAATTTGTTAATAAAGAAATGATGTATGTTAGTTATCATTTTGTTACCCTTTAGATTCTGAGGCTCCTCCCCAGTTTAACCAACAGAGTTTTATAAGGTAAAGGAAAATATTAATAGAAATTAGTTTATTTGCATGGTTCTTGTAACCAATACCTCTCTGACTTTATAGTTGTGATTTGTTTCCTTTTTCGATATGTGAACAGTTTTAGTGTTCGTTTTTGGTGCTTTACACTGAAATTACATATAAGTTTCTTAATTTATCTCATACAGGCGACTTAACATTTTTAAAAATGCACTTTTAAGTTTGTAATCTTAAAATTGGGGCTTTCATGTATGTATCTTTGAAGGTGAGTACTTTTCTTTATGCTTTTGGCCTTATGACAACAGCATGGTTATGAAGCCATTATCCCTATTTTTACTATGGTCACTAAGTATTTTTACGAAGACCCTGACTTTTTAGCAGTTGATTTTACTAACCCAGATTTTTGCTTAACCAAGCCCAGTGTAATGCAGTGTCAGAGGAGGTTGTCTTAGCTGTTACTTGGATGTCAGCCAACCAGTGACTATGGACGTGGAGCATCTTATTTAAGGAAAGGAACTGCAGTTCCTAGCCTCTTACAAACACCTAGCCAACCTGTATTGTTACCTTGATTCCCACAGAAATATTAAGGGCTTTTCTTGCTTTGGTAACTCCTGACAGTGTAATGGTGCTGAATACAGCTTCACGACTAGGATCTGCTTACATTCACAAACTTTCTGACCCTTCGGTGAGCCACTTGAGGATTTTACTTGCATATAAAGGCCAAATGAAACAGTAGAGGTGAATTTAGGGTATGTGGCATTTATCTAATGTGTTTCAGGAAAGCTAGAATGAAAATATGATTAGAGATCGTGAGTATAAATAAATTGATCTATAATCTTGGTGTAAAACAAGTTTCCCTAGGGTAGAATCTTAAGGAATTTGAAGCAAGATAGGATGTTGGATTTCAAGTGGTGTTCAACAGACTGTTCTGACTAGAGATTCAGACCATTCAGACGTTCTACCTTCAGACCTATCCTGGACACTCGTCATTTAGTGACCAAATTTTCAGTTTTTCTTCTGCCAATAAAGTCCTTATAAGTCACATGTTGTTTTTTTAAATAAAGTCAGTTTTTACAAAGCAGTAGTTTAATTCTCAGGTCTGTCGTTCAGTTCTAGCCCCCAATCGGTAAAAACCACTTAATTGTTGGTGGTTTTTTTGGTAAACACTTATTTTCCTAATTTTTTCATCTTGGAAAATGTAGAGCAGTGTGCCATTTAAACTTGGGTTTGCCATTGTGTATATTGGCCCTGGATCCATTTGGTGTGGGAGCTTGGTGTTGACATTTAGATCGGTGATTGACAAGTCAACCTGATGCACCATCTTTTTGCTACAGTTCTACATATATGTGGTGAAACTTGTGGGAAAAAACTTTAAGAATTTCTCTGCTTTTTTAAGAGTGATGCTACTGTCAATAGATGACTATTTTTCTTTTTTTTGTCGTTGCTAGGAACCAACCAATGCCTAGCAGAAACAAATAAAGCTGTATAGAAATGCCCATTCTTTAATCCTTGCCTGATTCAATAATGTTTTTGTTTCTGTTTATGCCAGTAATATATTCTCATTATGGAAAATTTAGATAACTGAAAAGTATAAAGAAAAATAATAATTGCCTATAATTCTATTACATAAGGGGAAAAACACTAATATTTTTGCGTATTTCTTGCCAGTCTCTTGTGCATGTTTTTACCTAGTTTCATTCATTCTCAGTATAATTTGTATCTTGGTCTTTTTCTCAATCTGCAGACATTATTCAGTGTCACTAAAAACTATGTCAACCTTTATTAATTGCATGATATTCCATTGTATGGATGTGCCATGATTTATAGCACCTTCCCCCATTAGACATTTTAGATTGCATCTCATAATGTTACAGTTGAATGTCTTTGTGCATAAATTATTTCCTTAGGAAAAATTCCTAGAGGTGAATCTCTAGTCAAAGATAGTTCTTAATTCATGTCACCTTTTCAAGTGGATATACTAATTTATACTCCAACTATGTGAGATGAGAGGATCTGTCTGTATTTTCCATGAACATATCTGCAGGCATCTGCACTATGACCCTCTGCCTTCCTGACCCTGGTGAGCTGGGCTGATTTGGATGTAATTGGCAGAGATTTTCCTGGGCTATCCCATTTCAAATATATCTATCTGACATGTTCCAGAAACACCTATATACTATATGGCTATCCAAATGATTTTTCACATAGTTTTACTTGCACTGTGAAGTAGCCCATTGCCAGAGTACATTTTTCTTTCTTAGAAAACCTTGACCAAAAAAAAAAAAAAAAGCCGTTTGTGCCTAGCGCCAGCCCTTAGTAGCCAGTTCTCTTTTCCTCTTCCTATAGGCTCCATTTTGGCCTTTCGGGGCTCCCCAAAGCCAGTAGGCTCTCCTGAGCCAAAGGCAATCCAACACAAACTGGAAATGTGGTAAGGCTAAGTAAGACAGCAACAGAAGCTGGGCCAAGCTGAGGGTTTCACTTTGTATTTTTCTGTGTTTTCAATCAGATCTTGGTATTCTAAGGGCAGCTGTGGAGAAAGAAAAACAGGTTGCTATTTTCAGATAGTTAAGGTGTATTCTTGATTGGCATGCCACATTCATTATTTCCCAAACTGCTTTTATTTCTGAGTGCCTTTTAAAGCTTTTATTTTGAGTTCTCAGAGTTTAACTCTTTTCAATGAAGAGTTTTGTGTTATAGAGTGCGCCTCTTATTTTGGTCTTCATCAAGCTATTCAACAAATATTTATTCAGTGTGTTTTGTAAGTCTGTGGGATACAGTAGTATAAACGATCTGGTCCCAGACTTCAAAGGGCTGCCAATCAAGTTGTCAAAAATCAAGAATTCTTACCTACTAATAGACGTCGTGCTAAGAACTTCCTTACAATAGCCCTTCAAAGGAAAACGATTTTGCCCCCATTTTACAAATGAAGCAGCAGATTCAGGTCAGTCTCACAGTGGACTTGGGAGTCCTGAAGTAGACCTAACTCAAAAGCCCTCCGACTAAACTGAAGTGACATTCGTTAGGTGTGCTATTTAGGAGACCAATACGGGAATCTAAAATTAGGAGAACCGATTTCAGACGATGGCCACCGGAATAAGGAAGGAGGAGTGGCTATTGGAGCCATTTCAAAGAGTCACTCCAGGTTCAGTGTCTGAATGGATATGGGAGTAAGAGCCGAAGACATTGCTCAAGTCTGAGTCTTAGGGGTTTGATGTTAAGCATGAGATTTCAGAATGGAAGCAGCCATGAAACCCTTGTTTTTCTTCAGTCTTTTAAGAACTGCAAATTTCCCTTGTCCTCCATTTTCATCTTCACTTGACTCCATTCTGTATATTAGCCACTCGCAATTGCCCACCCACCTGCTCTCCTCCCTAAACTCTGTTCGCTGCACCTCAAACCTTTCCATTTTTCTCTTCCCTGACTTGCCA